GCACAGTCAGTAACATCGGTGTCATCTAGGTTTACACTTCACTATCGCAACAAGCAATTTTTAAGAGTGGAAGATACCATGGCCCACAATGGTGTACTGAAAAGTTCACGCCCAGTTGAAGGAAAAACCGTCGGCTTACATCCACAACAAAATCAGGTGGTGTCGACAAGACACGCTACAGTGGGTTTGGTGCCTGTTTCACGCTTCAACAATACGCGATAAAATACTAAACAAGAACAAGCAAACATCAAAGAGGCGACTAGACTTGGAAGGCGTTGTAAGTGAAAACACCCGCAGTGTTTGGCAGTCAAGTTCACATACATGGCAGTGAGAGGTGGACATCGTGTTTGAACATCAATGGTAGATAGTAAGTTTGCTAGCGCGAGGAGGCTCAAAGGGACGGGTTACAAGCACACACTAGACAAGTGCAGAAAACTTGAACAACCAAGACAGCTGACTTATATGATTGAAGTGGTTCGGAGATCCAACAACTGCACTAAAAAGAGAATCTTATGTTGGATTCTGAAGTAGAGTAGCGAATAGCTTGTATTGGAGAAAACAAAATAAAGATCACTAGCAGACAGCGAGAGATTTAATTGTACAATTGGGATGTACTTGAAGACTTTATATTTCAGTTAAATGATCCGGGAGATCCAGAGAAGCACTTTTAAGCCAACACACCCGCTTAAAGTCGTCTGCTGTAGGTCGCATAGGAAGTCGGAGTGATCACGAAGCGGGTCGATGGAACGACACCAAGGAAATCTGTTGGACGGATGTGGTTCGGGAAAGATGTACAACATGAATGTGAATGTTGCATCTGGTGTTGTGGAGCCGTTGCTCTTTCAGTTATAAGGAAGGGAGTAGGAGAACGATGACAATATCGAACCTGTCCAGGATGTGATCACTTGGATTGTTCTTGAAATCGATCAACAAATCGTGATTTCAGAAGGGCACGAGCACAATCAAATGTAAACAGTGCACATCGCGTCGCGGTCCACAGAGAGAGGGAGAGTGGAGAATGTTTTGGTTCCAGGGTGAATTATGAACCACATAGGAAGATTGTTCTGAAGACAGTTTCGTCTGGGTGCAGATTGTGGTGGAGGTCCAAACGAATAAGAAGTGACTGGTAAAACTATTGAAATAGCACACAGCGATTCAGAAGCAAACACGAGTTTTATGCGGGCACATGTCAGTGCTTAGATGGGCACCTATTGAATGTTGTCTCGGTTACGGATGACCTAGTTCAAACAAGGTGTGATATGGAAAAAAACACTGCAAAGCGGAACATCACTTCAAATCAAATCAGTATAAGCTGTATGTACCGAAATGGTGTAATTTCAGAATTCTATATTATCAACTGTGCCCCATGCTGAGGCTGACGTTGCATTCTTGATGCTTCTTCACCGCAGTTGGGCTAAACCAACTTACACATAAACTAGGTCTCTTTTTAAGCTGAATAAATTTCATTTCACTTCATTTCATTTGTTCTGACTACCTGAACACTCTTCTATTAACTGGCCACGTTGCTTACGCTAATTGCGCTTATCTTCGGTAACTTTTTTTGCGTTTGTAGCATTTTAAGTAACTTGTGGACATTTCTTACTTATCGCGGATTTGTTGTTAACCAACTTACTTCATATGCTAATTTAACGAACAGTTATGCCACTGTATCTGTATGCATTATTGGATTTATTTTATTTCATCTTGTCGTTTCAAGTGACTGGCTGTTGCTTGATATCCCCGGTGTGTCTGCGCTTGATGTGAATGTTGACAAGGTGCCTACCTGTATATTACCCACTACCTCGTCCATACTGGCTCCAGGAGACAGTTGGTCGTTGCTGGAGGGGACGGGTGCACGGTCCTTGTGGTCGTGCTAGGCTCGAAGAGTGGTTCCATGCACTCAGTGTGGAGCGGACTACGGTCTAGCCACCGCCTTGTGTGCACTTGATTCCCCAAATACAGCGTGCTTGTGTTTGTCTGTGAAGGAGTGTGGGCCGGCTCCGTTGATGAAACGTGGCTCCCATCCGCATGCCTCCCGGTCTTATTCCTTCGGGTTTACACTGGATATGGGGTGTGTGGTTGGAGCTGTGGGTGGTGCAGCGCAAGCCACCTATGGTCCCTCTGTAGGCGCAGGTGTCCTGTGGCTGGCCACAGTGACAGTCAAATCCGAAACCGCATGCCGCCAACCATACAAGCAACTGGAAATTCACCAAACAGTCACCATTAAAATTGCTATGTTTATAAATGGGTGGAAAAATGAAAAGGATGCATTGTCCTAGATGGAACGAGCAACGATTCCAAAAAGCTGAACTAACTCTACGGGATTTGTATCCATTTAAAAAGAGATTTCACAAAAATTTTCTCCAGAGTTCGTTTCAATTGACGTAAAATTTTGTGTCCAAAGACAATAGATGGGGGATCGTGCGCGATATCTTGCATTTATATTCAAAGGTGGATGAAACAGAGGGTCTCAGTGACCTTGGGAGTTGATTGAACAAAATATCTGTCAGATAAATCTCACAAAACTGAGATACATACAGTAGATGATGCAAAAAATGATGTTCGGCGAAAAACGTAACGGCCAATTTAAAGGCCCTGTCTTGGCTTGATGATTCACCTCAAGACATTGTCAACTAGTGACGAAGATAATTCGGGCACAGTGGGGGGCACAAGCTGCGATTGAGTTCTCTACGGTGAAGGCGCAGAATCGAGGAAGGCAACGTTGACTGGATATATCCAGCTTCATTCACTTGTATCATTCGTTCTCCTACTCGTCTATGCTTCCCTTGTAAACACGTCAGGCAGCAAGGTGAAGCCAAACCATTCTGCTTCCAGCAACTTCATCCATATTTCGGATATTTCTCTTACGCCTAGCATAGAAAGCAAAACGCCTGAGCCAACTGACAAGTGGCAATCACGTTCAACTCACACACAACAAATAAATATCCCATTCTATCTGTCTCGGCCCGTATGTACAGCTACTGAACTGAAAATGAATAAATATCTCTGTCTTTCACTACTTTTTTGGAAGGTCACAATATACAGAAAAATTGTAGCATCAATTAGATCTATGATCTATAAGTATGTTCCCTATTATGAAAGAAAAACTTGGTTCCGTTCGTGCACGGTGCTCTCCGTCAAGACACCCTGAACTATTCTGTGCCCATTCAAGGCTTTGAACTGAACAATCATAGAGGTTAAAAAACCTTATTTTTATTTCTGCCTAACATTTGGAATATGCTGTAAATTTTATAAGACACAGTTGTAAAAAGTTGATCATGCCGAAAAGGGCATGTCTCGTAAATCCGAGAATATACCTTATTATTATTATTATAACTATCATTGTTATTAGTACAATTCAGTAGTACGCATTGGAAATAAATAGGTTAGCAGATTCGTGATGGGACGACTTTGAACGACAGTCTTAAGCTAGGTAAAGCAAAGCAGGTACATGAGGTAGGGTCGTCGATTGGGAAAATGTTTGGGTGGATCACAGTATTTACGGGACAGACTGGTTAGACGGTGATTTGAACCCTAACGTGTTTGGTACAGCAGTCCGGAGTAGCGGCTTGTCAAGTGTACCAATAGGAGCAATATAAAAAGTAGTTTCACGATGCTTAACAAATCGAATAGATAGATACCCGAGTAGATGGCACATCGACGAAGGATGTCGTCAAGGATAAACCATCAGGTTTATAAGAGGCGCAAGTGCGCTGTACTCACCGAAAATTCTATAGGAAGTGTGTGTAACGTCAATCAAGAAGCTTAGCTGGAGGTTCACAAAGACAGTAGCGGAACACAAACAAGGATGAGACTACACGTGGGGAAAAGATAAGCATTTTTAGCTTATTCTATTGTCCAGTGAGCATTGCTCAGGCGTGGAATAGCACCAAACAGAAGATTAGGATCCCATACAAATTCGGTTTAGATAATATATGTTTAGAGAGAAATGAAATGAAAGTAGTCCTTCAATAGCTTGGAGTAAACTTGGAACCGACTGGGATCACATAATTTCTGAAGATTTTAGAGTACAAATCGGTCATGTATAGGTTTGTATTGTAGCTTTATTTCGCCCTTGAAACCTGGCCTGAAGAAGCGCTGGTGTTCAGGGCGAAAAGTAGATACAATACAAACCTAGACAAAAGTTAGTTGTATTCTAAAATCTTTCTCAAGTAAACTGCACTGACCGTTGCCGACTGTGTGTCGACTGCAGGTCCAAAGTTAGCGGCGCTGTTGTACACATACTTCCATTTCAGACCAATGGCTATTACAACTGATGATTAGGACAAAACCTTGTTAGACCTTCCGCGAATATCATTGTTGTGTCAAGATAACTGGATCCACCGCACCTCGGCGCACGGTTAGAAGTTGAAACCGAGGTAATTGTCATGTAAGAGGTGATCAATAACTGGATCTACATCGACGAGTACCTCATTGTTACTAGGAATTAAGTGCAGGGCTGAAACGAAGTGGACATTAAAGCAGTCTTTTTTCGAAATATTCCCATTGTTAGGGCAGTCCTATGACACAGATGATTGATTTGTGCTGGGCCGAGATGCAGACAACCATGACGCTTGTCTGCGTGACGGCAGAAAAGAATGGGAAACGAAGCAAAGTAGGATTACATCTTTGAATAATAAACGCAGTGATGCATGGGCTCAGTTTAAGTCGATGAGCGAGAATATTCAGACAAGTTGGTGGACATCATTATCATCAACAGTAGTATATCAGAGCCATTGGAAAGGATACTTCGCTGCCGTACGGAACGAAGAATAATGTTAGTGGAAGGACGATCTGACGTAAAACCTTAACAACATAAACAAACATCTAGGGTCAAGACATCTACACCTTGTCAACAACACCGCCACAAAGAGCTAACGATTCGACAGAGCGGGACAGCACATGAACGGCTCGGAAGAAAAACACGCAAGCAAGTGTATGTGTGTGTGTGTGTAAAGCGGCATCACTGGCCGCAGAGCTTAAGAAAAGAGTGCAACTACCTTGTTTAGTCGTTCCAAATCCGATCGAAAGAGGGAGCGACTTCGCCTCTGTGTTCGGTCTTCCGTATGGGGTGAGGGGGTGCCTCGCGGTGAATAAAACGATGACCCAGGAGAGGCAGACAAGCTAGTTGGAGAATGAAGTGACTGACCACGGTCAAGTTTAGATGAAAATCGGTGTCTGGCTCCGGTTCGGAGACTTAGTGAACGAACGCATAAACGTAGACGTGTTCGTTCGTGTAGTCCAATTAATTCAAGCGCCGCCTGGGAATTGTTGGCATCAATGGGCAAAGCGGTGCAAATGAAGCTTCCGTTTGACTGACAAGTCCGGAACTCAGACGCGATGGGAGCTAGCCGTGACTCATCAAAACTGAGCGAGCTTGGATTTGGGTGCACATCAAGAGACTGGGTCTTTGAACGTCCGATATCCGAGAGTTTAATATTCCGTGGCATAATAGTAACCAGTAGGGAAGTGAGAATCCTATCGTATTAGGAGCGACGAATTAGAGCAGCAAAAGTAACAGACAGTTCTTATGTGAAACTGTGCTAATTCTCGTAGAGCCAATCTCATGCTGTCATGTGGCGTTCAAACATGTCTGGTGCAAGTGTGCTCACATGCTGAGCAGGTGGGCAGACACATGGGTGCACTAGCACAAATAAATCGATCATCCCTGAGCCGAGTACACGGAAGTGACAAGTCACACGTGAAACAAGTGCAAGGAATCCAAAAGCTGATTTGTGTGTGTGTACCTCTGAGTCGATGCATACGCACAAAATGACCTGCTGGTAGTGCGACGCGCAACATCCTAAACTGAAGTAGTGACGAGTACCGTAGAGTTCCAGTAGGCGTATAGTGTAGAAGAAGACATACTACACAGGACAGAGTACGACAAACGCACATGTGTAGCATTCATTGAAATTCGCCAGGTGAAAGGCAGCATAAAATGGGACTCTTCGTTGTGAGAACTGGCAGGAGTGGACTTATGCACTAATCGGACAAAGTTGCTGTTGAAGCATTTTCAAAGAGCAAGAAGGCAGGTGAGGAATGCGGGTGTTAAAAGAAGTGCCCTTGTAAATCTCGAAGGGAAGCACTTTGTAAGTCCCTAAAATTGGTTCAAACTCATATAGTGTAATACGTGTGAGCACACTGTGACCACCTATCGTGTTGTTGAATGCTATGAATTAGTTTGGGCTGATTAACAAACGTTAAATATGCGCAGTAGGTCTAATTGTTAATCGTACAGACTTAAAACCATTATCCATTAACCTTTCGCGCCCGCGTATATATATATATATATATATATATATGAAAAGAAGAGCAATAAGAGGGAGAGAAGGGGGACTTACTTGCAAACCTTAATATCCCAGGCAAACATACAGGGACAAGGCGCCTACACGTGGTCAAGATAAAACCGTCAAAAATAGCTGACTTTTGTGCAAAAATAAGGCGGCATCGGCGCGACAGCTTGCTTGACGCCTTTACTGTGCCGCGTCATAATCCGCCATTACCAGGTAGATAACTCAGCACCAGACACACTTTAAACAGGCAGTCCGATTAGGAGACGATAGCAGACGCGTCTCCGATGCTGACTGCGAGCCATGTTTTGCAAAGTATCGAGCCAAGCACAAGACGAGTCACGTGGACTCCAGCCCGGAAGGCGAGACGGACAAACGGCACCCAGTTTGGTCGTCAGTGACTTCATTCCCCGCTGCCAAGTCAACTTCTGCCCACATGGAGAATTGCGCCACCCTACACCTGACAGACTAAACAAGGCCCTCCTACGTAAGCGGTGACTAGGCATACGTAGCACGTTCCCGAGCCAACGCAAATTATTCAGTGCTATCTGTTGTTCTAAGGAGCTAGCATGATTATCACTACCTAGTACTCGCCTACGCACATCATCGTTGCGGACACGCTGGTGCCATCCGACACCAGCAATGCTTCGCAGACAACGATGATCAAAGACTTGAAGGCGCCTCAGATATTCAGACTGAAGGGGCCAAGTCTCACTACCATAGAGTAGGACGGCCCTCACTGTGGCTTCGTAAACACGGCTTTTCAGACGGAGGGAAACTCCCTTTTGTCGTCAAAAACGTCGCAGATCCAAAACGGCAGTTATGCATTTTGCAATACGTGAACTCATTTCAGTGCTTATGCACCCATTGTTGTAGCTTCCAAGGTAAATGAATCCATAAACTATCTCGAGTTCCTCGCTATAAGACTTTGCACTTTGAAGGTGCGAAGCACATGCATAAAAAGATCATCAGCACGACGACGGCACACTGTGCCTACGCTTCGTTGTCACACGACCACCACCGGTCGCGCGTGGGCTGATTATACCACGAAGACGCCCTCCCCTACGCGGATTCGAACCGGTGACCTAGAGATTGCAAGCCACGCGTGTAATTCTTTCGGCTACCGGCCGACCAGATAATGGGAGCACTTTGAGAGGCTATTCAGAATTGATTGCGCCGACCCAACACCGTTAAACAGTAAGACAATATCGTCCGCATAATCGAGATCAAAGAGCCTTTCACTAGGCAGCACCTCAAGAGTCCACGACGAAAGAGAACAAAAAATGGGAAAACGACAATTCTGACGACCGTCACTTGTTGTCGGAAAGATATCGGATAAGCGAAATGCCCGGCTCGGAGAACAGGACAATCCTCTCATCCACACTCCGAGCTACAGGTATTCTCAATAATTTCCAAAAGTCACCGTAAACCCTGACGCGGCCTGTTGTGTTCGAGTACAGAGCACGTAAGATGTTCACATATTTAGTGGGAACACTTTCCGTGCAAGTATTCCGAACAGAATGCTTCGATCGAGAGAAATGAAGGCCAGCACTTCGAAGCTGGCCTCGGTTGGAGCGTCATGACTCCCTAGTTGGTGTCCAAAAGACGATGAACACGTTTGGATAGATAAGCAGGCTGATATAACTAGGAGCCGACCGCAGTGGCGTTCCTGCTGTGAGTTTCTTTGTCCCTCCTCATCCCTTTTAGCCTCCCCCTCCAACCACGATCTCCTTTCGTAGCATATAATTTTACATAATATTTTGTTGCCTAGTCGCCGGCTGGTAGCTTTCCGGAACGATGCCCATCTGTTGCTGGTGTCTTAGCTGGCATGCAACCGTTGCATTTATTTTCTTTTATGTATTGCGGCACAGTAGCTGGTTTTAAACCTCTAGATAACGTGTATAATGACGATGAGCCCGACTGGTCTATCAGGCTTTCTTTTCAACACACAGGCTCCGTTTTAGTCCGTCTGTGCTGAGCCAGCCGGGAATTTTCTTCTAGATTCCGACAGGTTCACCGACTTCTCGGATATCCAGTGACTGGTGCGGCGACGATTGATAGTACCATAAGCAGATGATCCTGCGTCGTGCATGGCGGCCGAAATCCTATTCCACTGAAGCGCATTGTCATTAGGACAAGAGAGTGAAAGTTCGCTACGCAGTGCATCCTGGTAGGCTTGATTGACCTAGGGAAAACTTCTCAGTTGTCAATCAAGGGAGACGCTTGGTGATTATCCTGGTAAAGGACATGGAAAAACGACAGCGTACCAAGGCACGATCAAAGTCGACGCAAGCAGAACGTGCGGCAACCCAGGATGGAGCCACGCCACCTGTAACTTATGGCAATGTGATCAATTTGGGTCCATCGTTGGCCAGCTACAGGAGAATGCCAAGTGGCACTTCGGCGCCTACTGTGCTTAAAAGCGGTGCTACTAAGAAACAGCTGATGTTCCGCACACAGTTACAAAAGATGCTTGCTGTTGTTCGTTCGGTCGAAGTTAAGCTCATAATTACCGTCTAGCTGAGCTTCTGATAAGCGCAGGTGACCTACTTAAGCATCCATATCCCTTGCAAATACTATGATATCTGAACTGCTAGCACTACTTAGTAGCGTGTTCAGTTCGCGATAGGTGTTCTTAACAGCATCAAAGCTGCAGTCAGTGGGGGCACAAGCGGAAACCACATACAAAGAGCGTCTTGTATTACCTCGTGAAGCAACCTCAGCTGATGTCGTCTAACGGACTGCACACAGACGGCTGCTCATGGGAATCTAATGAACCAACGACGACCCAGCCTTGGAGCTGAGAACGATGCTTACACCAGCTTGATCAGTGATTGCCGCATCAGCGTCTCCGGATGTATGCAAGCAATAGCGAAAGGACAAACCGGGTACAATTATTTCAACCATGTGAGCGGCATTGATTCTAATTTCGTACACGAAACACACATCAATACCCAGCGTGTCCAAGGTGCGTGCGAGTGCAGCGCTATTGACCTATTTGTCTTAGAGTGCGAACGGTGAACGCCGCCAGGGAAACGGGACAGCATGACCTTATAAGTGACTGTTGTTGATAGGCATCCAGTGAGTGTTGCAGGAAGGTGGCTGCAGATGCTGTGAATCCAGTGCACTTCGGTTACTGTCAATAAAGTTAGGAATTATAGAAGTAAAGTTAGTAATGGGGGGGCGAGATGGGAGTAAGAGAAACAGGTGGAAAAGTAAGAAGGGGACGTCAGCAGTAGCATGTTTTCGCTTATCTGCCCTGCTCTATGCAGAAGATAAGGTGACCTTTGGTAATCTGCGCGACAGCCGATGCAGAATGCAGTTAGAGTTTGGAGAAATTGTCATAATTGTATGTGGGCTAAGATACTGCCAGGGCGCCCAGATATAGACAGGAAGACGATTACAGTCTTTAACCAAAGCCTTCGGCTCAAAAGCCTGTCCACAAGGCAGCGGGGAGGTGGCAATGATTTAGTTTTACAGAGATGGACGCTATCCCATTTCAAACCTCTAACCTTGAGGACCGGAAGACTGAGTTTGTCTGACCTCTAAATATTGACCAACCTGGTAGGAATAGCTCGCGAAGAGCCCGGGGACACCACCCAGATAGTTCAGTGGGCCAAAGAGATGGGCAAACCGGCGTACCACGTTAACGTCCAGTTTCGTTGCGACGGTACTCTAAACGCGGGTTAAAGGCGAATTATTTCCGGCTCGTTACGGATAGAGATAGGTTTATATGAGAGGGTGTAAAAGAAATATCAACACGAATACGAGCAAACCGTTCAGTTGTGTGAGCCTCAAAGCAGTTTTCAAATCAGAACAATGAATATCTAACCGCCGTGTCACGCGTTGTTCGCAGAGCTCAATGGCCTAGCGATCAAGGCGCAAGCCGTGAAGCCACTTCGAGCCGGGTTCCGCTCTCAGTTCATGCTATCCAATACCAGAAAAATCTAAATGAGGACGAAACCAGTACTGGAGTGCAGTGGCGAGAGCAGCTCCGAAAATCTCAAGAACAAAACAGCGGACTCAAAGCGCTGTGGAAACTGCCCCTACTTTGCAAATTTAAAATGTTAGCAGAGGACAGTTGGTGTTTTGCTTAATATCCGTGGTCGATCCATAAATAGCAGAGGTACAGGTACA